GGAGTGCAAGGAAGCCCCGCGAAGGCCTTCCCTGGCCCCAGGCAGGCAGGGGTGGGGAGAGGCAGGGAGGAAGCAACTTACCCTCCCTCTTCTCCTGCCTCCTCCTGGCTGAATGAGGGCCGGGAGCAGGGGGCGAGGTTTCATCATGTGCCCCGCGCCCCCCGTACCTCACCCGGGGGAACTGCGATCCCCCATGATCCCCCCCGAAATGACCTCTGATCCAGCCAGTTGGCCTGGAGGGCCAAACAGGCAGGGCACGGAGGACAAGGCCCTCTCCTGTTGCCGCCTCCCAGCACTCTTATTCAGAAATTGATTGATTGATTGATTGATTGTATTTGTATCCCACCCATCCTGTGAGCAGGCTCAGGGCGGGTCACATCATCTTAAACAATACAGTAAGGTTTAAACAATAAGACATTACATGACAAGCATTTAAAACCAGTAGTTATAGCTGCTGGTGAAAAGTCCGACCCATTAATACAGATGGATCTGGCCGGTTGCTGGCAGATGGGTGGCCAGTAGGTAGGAGACCTCAACCTCGGGGGGGGGCATATGTGGACGCCCGCTGCCTCAGCCAAAGGCCTGGCGGAAGAGCTCCGTCTTGCAGGCCCTGCGGAACTGAGTAAGATCCCGCAGGGCCCTGATCTCGATGGGGAGCACGTTCCACCAGGTGGGGGGCCAGGGCGGAGAAGGCCTTTGTACATGGAGGCTTCCTTCAGTCACCACAGCTCATACCCGTCGATGGACGTCTCCTCCCGAAATCTCTCTAACCCCCTTTCAAACCAAAACTCTGAGGTGACGAGGTTTTTCTTCTCTGTAAGTTTACCTGGTTGACGCGAAGCTCTTTATCAAACTTTCCCCATGTCCTCACGCTATGAAAGAGCAGCAGGTTTCCGGGCTGCTGGGAAGTATATTTACGCCCGAGGGCAAGGGAGGAAATGAACACGAAGAGAGGCTTATGTTCTCACCGCCTTTCATTTCCTTTTCATCTAGTGATGCCGCGTTTTGCCGAACAAGTCGAAGTCGCCATCGAAGCCTTGAGTGCCAACATCCCTCAGCCGTTTGAAGAGAATGAGTTCATAGACGCCTCCCGCTTGGTTTATGATGGAGTTCGTGACATCAGGAAAGCTGTTCTGATGATAAGGGTACGTAAGGCACCCGGGGAAATCAAGGTTTGGACTCAGATGGCAGGGCCGTGGCGGGCGAAGAGAGTGCGAGAGGCGTTCGGCATTTGCGCGGTTGTGTAATCTGCAAGGTGCACGGGCCATCAAATTCAACGTGAAGCAAGGGGCTGATGGAGCTGATTCATCAGATGTTTTTAAAATTATTATTGGCTTATTCCATTTGATCATGGCATGTCCCTTCATCCAGGGAGCCCAGGGCTGCCAGCCTGTGAGATAGGTTAGTCTAAGACAGAGAATCAGAAACTTTGGCATTCATGCTTGTCGAAGGCTGGGATCTAGCAACAGATGAACAACCGTGGATTGTGCGCGCAGGACAGAGTCTTTCTGCTTTGGCTAAGAAAAGAAGAGCACAACTTTGTATAAATATATGTTGATGGGGTCCAAACTGGCAGAGAATGACCAGGAGAGAGATCTTGGGAATTGTGATAGATAACTCACTGAAGATGTCGACTCAGTGTGCGACTGCAATAAAACAGGCAAACACTATGCTGGGGATTATGAGGAAGGGGATTGAAAACAAATCAGCCAGTATCATAACGCCCCTGTATAAATCTATGGTGCTGCCTCATTTGGAATACTGTTTCCAGTTGTGGTATGATAGCAAAGGATATGATAGCATTGGAAAAGGTGCAGAAAGGGGCAACTAAAATTATTAAGGGGACGGAAGACCTTCCCTAGGAAGAAAGGTTAAAGAGGTTAAGGCTCTTTAGCTTGGAGAAACGGCAAGCAAGGGGATGACATGATAGTGGTGTACAAAATTATGCATGGAAGAAAGAAGGTAGAGAAAGAAGTCCTTTTCTTACAATACAAGAACTCACAGACACTCAATGAAATTAGTGAGCAGTAGGTTTAGAACAGATAAAAGGAAGTACCTCACTCAAAAAGTAATGAACGTGTAGAATTCACCACCTTGGGAAGTGGTGACAGCGACAAGCATAGTCATATCCAAGAAGGGATTGGATAAACATCTGGAACAGAGGTCCATGAGTGGCTATTAGCTACAAGACTCTGTCTGGGGCAGTGATATTCTGTAGTCTTCATGCTGGGGGGCAACAGTGGGAGGGGCTTCTAGTTTCCTGGCCCCGCTGGTGGACCCCCTGATGGCACCTGGGTTTTGGCCACTGTGTGACACGGAGTGTTGGACTGGATGAGCCATTGGCCTGATCCAACATGGCTTCTGTTTTGGTTTTTTTGTAAGGTAGCATGAAGGTTCTGTACTGTCCAAGCATAACATGGATGCTGGGATAACAACCGTAGCAATAACAGGCTTATAGAGTCTCCCCACTCCTACTATAATATGTCGCCTGGCTTATCTGTTTGAATCTCCTCTGTTGTGAGGTTAGGGTTGCCAACTCTGGATTGGGAAACACCTGGATATTTTGAGCATGGAGCCTAAGGAAGGGTGGGTTTGGAGGAGGAACTTCAAGGGGGTACAATGCCACGGAGTCCACCTTCCAACATGGCCATTTCCTCCAGGCCGAACTGAACTCTGTTGCCTGGAGATCAGTTATAATTCCAGGAAATCTCCAGCCATCCCCTGGAGGTTGGCGACCCTCTATAAGTCTCTGTCTCCTTTCTGTTCTCATTCCTGCATTTATACTGGAATCATTTTACCTAACCTGCTCTAGGACCTTAGAAAGAAGGAGTCTTCTTTCTTACTGCATGTGGCGGGAGTCAGTACAACTCTGACCCAGTCAAACTATTTACTTGTTTTGCTGATAATTAATTTACAGCAGATTTTGGGCAAAAATGCGACTTGATCTATTTTTATCTAGCTAGGTCTTCGCAACCTAGCCACTTCTACATCTGGGAGGGAGGGCGGCTTCTCATAGTTTGTTTGTCATTTATTTTTCCCAAACTGAAAGCTGCCAAAGTTAGCCTCAACCAGGGCCAGGGATTACTCGTTCCTGGCCCCAGCCGGTGGAACATGCTTCCAACTGAGACCAGGGCCCTGTTACAGTTTTGCAGGGCCTGCAAAATGGGGCTGTTCCGCAAGGCCTTTGCCTGAGGCAGCGGGCATCTACCAGCTGGCCTCCAAATTGCTACTGCATGAGACCATGACGACTCAGTGCTGGCCCACTCCTTTCCCGGCTGTAAGAACTGAAATTGAGCATACTGCATTTATACCCCACCATTCACTACCCAGAGGAGTCTCAGAATGACTTACAAACTCCTTTCCCTTCCCCTCCCCACAACAGACACCCTGTGAGGTAGGCGGGGCTGAGAGAGCTCCGACAGAAACTGCTCTTTTTCAAGGACAGCTTTGCCAGAACTATGGCTTGCTCAAGGTCATCCAGCAGGTGTAAGTGGAAGAGTGGGGAATCTAACCCGGTTCTCCCAGATTAGAGTCCGCGAACTTAACCACTACACCAAACAGGAAGGAAGGAAGGAAGGAAGGAAGGAAGGAAGGAAGGAAGGAAG